CTTGAGAATAATTTTAATAGAGTTCAGAGCATTCTAGCTCATTAACTACAATAAATTGTTCTTTTTCTCCTGATTCTGCAGTAAGAATCCAACATGCCATTGGAACATGCCCAGCGTATTATGCCATGTGTTGCCCTAAATCTTAATCATTGGTTCTTTACTCATTAAAGAAAATTGTTTGCAGGCCATAGTTGAACTTACTGGGTTTTATGTACTGTGTGAGCTGTATGTTAGCTTCAGAAGACTCATGATGTTTGAGAAGATGATAGGACTCTGAAGACATTAATTAATTTTATAGTTCAGCTTAGGTATAATGGCTAGTGTGCTGAAGTCCACTATGGTCCATGGAGATGGAGAGGCTCCTTTAGATGTCTGTTCAGGTCAGACACTGAACTTAGATGGTCTGCATTGCCTCGTGAAAGAGAATTGCCTTGCCTAAGTTATCTTGTATTTCTTGTTCAATGCTGGGATTTCCCTCAGGTTTTGAGAGCGCGTTTTTGATGCAAGGCATTTTTAAGATTTTTATTATCTTCTTGAACAGTAGCTGAATTAGGATGCATGTCTAGATCCCTGTACACTTAAGTAATTCGGGATAGTAAATAGCAGGGAGTTTTTTAATTGTTTTAAATTGTTTTCCTTTTAGGAGAGATATTTGTTGTGCTTTGTTAGACTGTGAAGACGTTTAGGACTACTTTGACACCATTAGCCTTACGTACCTTTTTGTGATCAGGAAATGATCCTCACTTTGCTGTCACTTCTTGGGTGAAGACCATGGAGCTGTGGTTTGCCCTTCTGGTGATGCAGGGCGTCGCCTGGTTTTCTCTGCTTTCCCCATTTATTTGACCTCTGTACAATGAATATTGTTGCGTAATTTCCCTACGCACTGTGTGGCATTATGGTTTACTCAAGTCTCGTGTTCTTCCTGCAGTTTCGTATCACTTGAAGTTCCTCTGTGCAGAAGTTAGTTTTTTATTTTTGCTTTGTTTAGCCCAAGCCTGCACCATGATTCCAGTATGTTTGAATGGCCCAGGTGGCCATACTCCTCAGGAAGCACAGGTGTCTGGTTCACTGGCTCAAGAACCTAGACGGTGAGGTTTAAGAAGCTGTAACCAGTAGATGCATGGATGCTTATCAGTAAAACCTGGAGGCTGATCGCGTAGGTCAGGTATCAGAGCACAGTCAGTAAGGCAAGACCAGGGAGGAAGATTTGCAGTAGGTGGAGGGGAAAGGATTGGAGTGCCAGAAATTTCCTGCATGCCACTGTTGTTTATGCATTTACTATGTTAGTCTCTTGGTAATGTACAGATCCTGCTGTAAAAAATACAGTGGCTGGCGTGCTGGGGGACAGTGACAGTAGCAGGCATGTATGAGAACACTTATGAGGCTGATGTGCAGTAAAAGACAAGACCTGAAAGAAATATTTGGAAAATTATTGACTTGTGTTTTATTAGCTTTTGTATTCATAATGAAACACTAAGTGTTTTCTCTTTTTATGAGGTGTACAAAAAAACCCCTGAGACAAGCTATGATTTTGTCTCTCTACACCTTGTAAACAGTGGTTACTGTATTTTAAAAGGTGGTGTTCTGTCTCAGGTCAGAGCTACAAATACTGCCCCATAACCAACATATTTCCTTTACGTTTCCTCTTTCTAGTTTATAATTTTAAAAAAAATAAGTAAGACAACATTCCTAATTGATTGTAGTCTTACTAATAACTGAAATCTGTTATGAGAAGAAGTAGAAGTAATCCCCAGGAAAATGTAGTTAACTTTAGAAATTAAAAGACTCATTCCTGGAAGGTGGTGAAAACTCCCAAGTTAGATTAAACCAGAGGTAAATTAGGAGTTATGACTTAGCAAGATGGTATCTCTTAGATTGCAAAAGGTACGTGGTCTATGATACTTTCTGTTGATTCTTTGAGAGCCTGAGGAACCCGTACTATTCTGCATACAGTAAACATACTGTTTTTCTATGTAGATACAGATAGGGCCCAGTCCCATCCTTCTGGAGTGTCTAATACTGACTTGAAGCACATCCCATGCAAATAAAGGGAACACAGGAGATGTTCGGCAGAACAAGGAAGCAAATGCCACCTTTGGAAGTATACTTGTCTTGTCTGATAATTGCTTTTGATTCTTGTTCTCAGGAACATGCAATGAATAAACAACCATTGACATTTGGCCTGGTGTTAGGACATTATATTTCTGTGACATCAAGATACTGTATCTTTTATTTTCAGGACTTTTTGTTGATGAGGTTATGGTATCTTTTTTCCAAAAAGACCCAACCAATGAACCAACCAATCAATCAAACCACAACTCCTGTAATCTTAAGTATGGGTTAATATTTTGCTGTTACTTGTTTAACTTGCTGTGGTGGTTGTTACTAGTGCTGTTCACAGTGATTCTGAATTTTTTGTTCTTTTCTCCCTTTTTTATGCATATTTATTGGAATTCAGTGGTGTGGGTCGAAACTGGGGCTGGGCTTCTGCTGGCAGCAGCATCCTTGCTGAGTTTGGTACTCTACACATGGAATTTGTCCACCTCAGCTATTTGACAGGGGACCCTGTATACTACAACAAGGTGGGTCTCAAATTCAGTTTTTTGTCATACAAGTGTCTTTTATACTGTTTCATCATAAATTGCATTAAAGGGGAAGTACTTTCTATATTGCATTCTATTTGCATTCATGGTAGCAGATAAATTTTTTCATATTTGTATTTCTGTTACCAAATAGGTGACTTTTTCAAGTAGAAATTTATGACAGCACAAGTTTTATTGTTTGTTTCAGCATACATTTAAAAAAATGATAATTTTTAAACATGTTTATGTGAGCAGTCCTTTAAAAGCAAAAACATACTAATCTGCACAGAGCGTTTAAGAAAGTTTCTGGGTTCAGATTAAGGAAACTTACTACTAAAAAAAAAAAAAGAAAAAATATTAGATTGAACTATGTGCAGAGAGCAGATGAATGTTGTTAGTGATGATCCTGATTCTTGATTTAATTTAGGTCATGCACATTCGGAAGTTACTTCAAAAAATGGATCGTCCTAATGGACTTTATCCAAATTATTTGAATCCAAGAACAGGCCGGTGGGGTCAGCGTAAGTATTCTTATTTTAGTCATTCCTAATTAAAGCTCTGCTTCTTACTTTGTTGCTGAGTTGGAGATCAGAAAAATTATTCTGTGGGGCATGAACAGCATTGCTTGAAAACATGCAACATAGAGGGATTACTTAGACTTGAGATCTCCTGAAACCGATTTTTGACTGTTGCTCTCTCTGAAGTCACGCAGCTCGATTTTTGTGGTCCTTTCTGAAAGCAGCTTCCTACCAAATCTGATGCCTATCCTTACTTTTATCAGTCAGTAAAATCTTCAGTAATAAAGAATGAGGCTGAAAATAGTTTCCTCATTTTGATTTTGTTTCTGGTTTTGTTCTGCAAACCATCGGGTAAGTGGATTACTATAAGGTCATGTAGAAGTAATGCATGTTTGTGGTGGTTAAATTTGAACTCCTTCACCTGGTATTAGGGACTGACATTTACAAACATTCTTCTACTTAGTGGCATGTGAAATGTCATGATGAACCTCCCTATAGATCCTGCTGTTATCAGTGTGTGTCTCATTTAAAAAAAAAAAAGGGAGGGGTGTGGAATGAAAAGAAAAATTTGTTTTTGTTGCTGACAATGTAAGTGGAGTGGATAAAACACAAAGATAGACAAATACGATTCCTTTTCTTGAAGTGGTTCTTCCAAGAAAAGTTGAGTGTTTTAGTGCTTTCATAGTGGGTGTAATAAGAGAATTCTTTTTTCTTCAAGGTTTCTGTTCCTATTTCTTTCATGAATGCAAGTTTATTTAGGAAAAACAAGCAAGAAGATCTATTTCTTTCCTGTTTGACATCATTGACAGGTTTCGGGGATTTCAGTGGTTTGCTGTAAATATCCAGCAGAACACGTTCTGGCTTGCAAACTGAGAATTTACTTCTGACTTTGTCTGGTATATGAGGGAAATGAATGCAGCTGTCAATGCAGTGACTGTGAAAAGAGTTGTCTAATCTAATCATTAAGGCCAAAACTCTCTCCAAAGAGTCTAACATCTTCAAAGAGTGACACATTCTGAGACTGACACATGGATTGATGAGATAAATTCTTCAGACAAATTTAGGTTTAATGATGCATTCAGAAAAAAGAAAGCAAATACAAATATTCACCTATTATTTATTCAAAAGAGAATTTTATGTTGTTGTTCTGAAATATTTTTTTCTGTTGCTTTTTTCTATTCCTTTTTTCTATTCCTAACCAATTGCTCCTGCTACTTTTATCAAAAATAGTCTAATGTGGCATATCACCAGGATCCTTTAGGGGTTTTTTGTCAGTTATAATAATAATGCTCAGAATTAGCAGCTCTTGGGAGGAAAATAATCCTGGTCACTGAGAATAAACATACAGTGAAAATTTTAACTTTGCAGAAGCTTGATGGAGCTCAGACATACAATTTAAAACAATTTTGAAAGATAATACATTTGGAACTGAAGTTTAGGATTACAGGCTGAGACTTAAGTTCTTAGGATAAAAAGAAATACAACTTTATAGAGCCTTTAATTTTTCTGTGCTGCTCATTAGCCACAAACATATTTCCTGGAATTTGGTGATGGGTGGTTTTGGGGGTTCAGGTGGGGTTTACGGGGTTTTTTTGGTGTTTTTTGGTTTGGGGGTTTGGTTTTTTTGAGCAAATAAGCTTCCAAGTGCAGATACAGATACTCTGGTAGTGTTTCCAAGATATCTCCAATGCAAGAAGCATTTGTAAGCCTATCTTGAAAAGTCTTGTGTGGACATGAAAGCAAGAATCCCTAATTCTGTTTTTCCTGCCACAAAGCAGGATGGAACTATGAGAAACTGTCTTTATCATATCCCTGATAGATCACTCTTCAGTGAATCTATTTGCAGAAATTTAAGAGGTTACGGTAAAAGTACACATGCACTGCAACACTGACGTATAAGCTGGAACAGCTGAGGCTTAGACAGGAATTTTTCTTCTGATTCTCATGCAGAGATCATATCCTGCACCTCAGAACTCAGTTAAATAAGGTGATGCCTTCACACCCTACATCTCAGTTCACTAGAGGACTTGTGTCAGAGTCCACAATGCTGTTACTGACTTGAGTCACATCGTTAGTATTAAGGGCAGGCAAGGCTTTTATGTCTTCCTCAGAAGGTAAATTCAAAGAGCATTGTGTTTAGCTTGTTATATGCTTCAGTACTGGGAAGACTGAGACAATGGAAAGAGTACCAAAGCATAACTTTCCTTCTTTCAGCTTCTGGGAAAGCTGCCCTTTTCGTCTTTACTGTGACCTTTAGTTTCATGCATCTTACCTTGTACAAAGTACTTTCTTCAGGTAGTTTCTGAGAATTATTTCAGAACTCTTTATTTGCCTAGATACATGTAACTCTTGACTCTGACCTTTCTGGGTTTTTGTGGTTTTTGCTTTTTTTTTTTTTCCTCCTTTTCTTTTCTTTTAACATTTTTTTTTCCTCCTCAGACTTTTTTGGCTCAGTTCCAGTTAGGTTTTCTGCTAATCTGTACAGTGTTCCAACTAAGTCATGAGAGGTGTGAAATAGGTAAAATAATTCTACATAAATATACTGTTGAAATATGGGATTTAGTTGCAGTATAGCATCATTCTAGTGGTGGGGTTTTTTTTCTATTTCTATACCCATCATTCTAGTGGTGGGTACCTTTATTCAAAGTAATAAAAATACCAATGACCTGCACATAGTCAGACTAATTAATGTTATTAATACCAGTTGTATTAATACCAGACAGTATTAAACAAAATATGGAAGAAGCCATTTAGGTCAAGTTTTCTCAACAGTTATGTTTTGTCTTTACCTTTTAATTCATTTTTTTTAAAGAAAAAGAATTACATTATTTGAATAAAAGAAAAAAGATACACATGTATGTTGTTTTTCTGTTTAATTTTGTTCTAACAGGCTGATAGGTAAACTTGAATACTTAAAGACAATTCCTATTTCAAGACAGATTTGTGGAAGAAAAGAGAAGTCTCAAACATTTTCTGTGGCTTTGGTGTGGCCCCATAGGACTGTAAGCTGGATGTATCTCTACTTGCAACAAGAATGTTGTGGAAAATTCTTGGTACCTTCTACCTTGATACAGTTTTTTGATACCTTCTCAGAGGTATTTGCACAAGGAGCCTAGGCACATCCTCATTTTGTGTTTTTAACCAAAAAAACCCACAAGGATTGCATCTACTTTATTTGACTTGCAATCCCAAGTATTAAATGTTAGTGTGAGCAACTGATATGCCTTTGAAATACCCCATTTAGAAATCTTTCCTTCCTTTTTCCTCTTTGTGCCAGAGATGTGTGTGGTGATTTATGCTGCCATATAAGTAACTTCTCAACACAGCACACTGCCTTTCTTTTTTTGAATCTCAGATTTTGCAGAATCTAAATGTCATGTTGTCCGTCGGAACCTTGTATGAACTGGATGTAATTCACAAATATGAAGCTTTTATCTCAGCTGCTGGTGTTAGGAAATTAGAGTAATAAAATTCAGTGCTAGGTATTATGGAACTTGTATTTGTTTACAGAGTCATTAAGCCAGCTGATAATTAACTGTTCTCATTTTCTCATAAGTTTAATTCACTCATACTCACAGGTACCAAGACGTGTCCAAGCTGTCTGGACTCAAAGAAAAAGGGACACTGCTCTTCGCATATCTAGGGTTCTTGAATGACAACAATGAGCTAGTTTTTGGACAGATCTTTCAGGCCTCTTAGGGACCAGCAATTGTTATGGGGTTTTTCTATGCCTCAGAATATTTGTCTTTAGCCTCCATAGATCTGAGGCCAAGTTGCTGTGTCTCATCTGTTTTTCCTCATTTAAACGTATGCTTAAAATATATGTATGTGGTCTGTTCCCTTCTTGGGTTAGGGGAAGGGGAATGGTGTGTGTAATATGCCGCAACCTTGTCGCCATCCTTCTGATGTTAGGATGCAGGGTCTGATGTGTCATTCCTA